GTTCCTCTGGTTCCTCCTAGTGCTTCTAATGGCATTTGCAAAAATCCACCACACCTGAACAAAAACAACCAATCAGAGCCAAGAAAGACAGTTGATTGTTAAGTTTCATTCCCAGGTCGTCAAAAACAAACATTTGGGGTACCAAAGCTTCAAGCCACCAATGCAAAGGACCTTAGAATGAGACTTAACAATCAGCTTTCTTAGCTCTGATTGGTTGTTTTTGTTCACATTAGAAGCACTTACAAGCATGTACTACTCTGGATATAGTGAAAGTTTAAGCAAATACTAATATAATAATAATTTTCATAAAAGTGACCTACTGCAGCTTTAATATTTAGGATGTGATCTTGTGTTTAGTGACGGTTTTGTGTCCCCTGTTCATTACTGAGTCCAGTGTGGAGCCAACAGACCAGAGTATCAAGTGTTTGTTCGTCTCTCTGCTTTAATCCATCGCTCTCTGTCTGCAACGTGTCTGGATTAACACACACATACACACACAAGGTCACATGTCAAATTATATCAATGCATCTAGGGGGATTATGGGAGCGCCTGGACTGTCAATCTCATCCCCAGCTATCAAATTTTCTGTTGATTCTTGCATTCTTCACATTTGGCAGTTTCATTCTGACCATTGTGTTAATAACATCTGTGCTAAACTGCTGGCACTGAGAGTGTGAAATACAACATATCAAGGCAAGTACCAAATGCTGCTTTCTACTGTTGACTAACCCTATTTTGCAGCTCATCTGTGACTTTAAATATGACAGATCAGAAAACAAGGCAAATCACCTATTTTGAAGAGTTTATCTGCATTTAAACAACCTGCATATACTCACTAATTTTGCCGTTAAAAGGGTAGAAGTAAAAAGATAATGCTACTGTGTGTAGCTTCAGATGTCACAGTTATGAACAGTATATGTGTATGCATGTGAGGCTGCAGAACTAAACATGAAACCGTATTTTCTGCATGAATCCAAAGAAAAAAAGAATCTTAAAGATGACAGGGCGAACCCATTGGCTCAAATGTTGTGACTCATTGCTCAGTTTTAGGAAACCGAGGCTCTGTGTGATTGACTGACTCTGTGGGTTTGATATGAACCCAGTCCAGCAGTGAATCACAACCTGTGCACATACTTCCCAGTAACATCACCGCGGCCGCTGTCACACACTCCCAGCAGTCCTTCCATTATTCACCGTCTGAGGAGCCGCTGTAGGATCCATCTCAGATGACATCATCACCACCCTCTGTCTCTGCTGTCCAGCTAAACGAGACTCTGCTTCATATTCACTCATTAAAACTAAGCTGCACCGCATTAAAGAAATAACATATGATTTTCTTGTTAGGGCTAGACAAACTAATAGGTAGTGAAAAACTTTCATAACATATTTTAGTCAGTCTTCCCCCGCTTTCTTTCCTTTTACGTCCTCTCCCTTACTCCTTTTTCAGTTTTCTGAAAGTCCTGCCTGTGGCAAACATGTGACATGTTTGACATTAATTGCGAGTTGACATCCATGTCATTGTTTTGTTTTTAAACATTATCTAATGACAAACACCTTGCGGCACCCAGGCACCGTGCTCCTCCTCATGTTTATGACAACGCTGGACGCCATCCGCCGCAGTGGCATCAGAGTGCTGGCCTTTGACGTATCGGAAATTCAATCTGACACTCAGCACGGGGGCCAGTCCACCCCGGAGATGCATTCATTGACCCGTTAATCGGTTCCAGGAACGCCGGGCCGGTGTGTTACTCAGAGAGCATGCAGGGTCGTCTCTGTTTAGAATTTTGGGGAATCAGTTGAATGTTTGATTTTCCCTGCAGGGCCAAACCGGGCTGAGGAATCTAAATTCATGTCTGCTATTTATGCAAGAAGGGGCGAGTCAGGAAAGTCGCAATATCTTCATTTTAATACATTTCTTTTCTAATCCAAGATAAATAGCTGTGGGAAGGGGGACATGATTTTATTTTTCAGAAGCATTGATGGGATGGACTTCTAGATTTCTGTTAAGCCCAGTTCAGACAGGGAGACACAAGTTGAAACCGTTTAGAACGTGGCAAAAAGAAAAAGTTTAAGCTATATGAACTGATATGATTTATTCTTACAACTGACATCTAAAATCTGCTCGGTCTTAAGACAGGTGGCTGCACCAGGATTAAAAAGTGTAATTTTAAATAGAAGCAGCAAAGGCACAGGTATTCTTACTCAAGTGTGACAGTAACCGGGCTGCGCTGCGTAGCATTGCATCATTTGACACGTGCAGCACACACCGCACACGGCAAAAATAAATTTGCAGTTCTATGGGATAGGAGTCAATTTCACTATTCATGGGACAGGACAGGACAAAAAGTCAACGGGAGTTTGCAGGACAGGAATCATAGTAACAATAGATCAGTTTTATAAATATGCACACTAACACTTGAACATAATGTTAGTTGTGTTGTTGTGTTTTTATATTATTTTTTTATTCTTTCCTGTCTTCTCTGATGCCTGGTTGCTGGTTGCAGCCACATGATCAGTGCATGATGGATTGCCCACAATAGAACTCAGTAGTACAACATCAAGTCAAAATCATTGCATTGCCTGAAGACTCAACATGGGAACGGGGTGTGACGGAACAGGAGTATTTTTGTGGGAGTGTGACGGGACAGGACTGAAAATCTGCTCCTGTGTCACCCTCTATTGTGTACCTCTTTGGCTCCATCTGATTTCTATGTATAATACGAGAACATTGATTTGAGTTCACAGAAGATCATTCTTGCCTTTAAATCAACTTCTCTGCCGGCAGGATGATGTTGAGCCCTTAAAAAAGCAATTTTATAGGCTCTGTTGTGTCTCAGTTGATGGAAGAGCAGTTATTGATGTGTGTCCTCAGTGACCTCGTTCAATTAAACTAACAGCAGTCAAGTCCCGCTGATTAAATCTGCTTCTCAGCCCGGGCATCCAGAGCACGCAGCTGTTGTCACGCTGTGTCACGTGATGCTTCATCACGACACCATCCCGCGTCCTGTCTTCATGTGTCACACCATGCTGCATCACATCATGCAGTCAGACCACATTGAACCACATCAGATCCATCACTTCCTGCTGAAGTGACGCTCAATCTTTTGCAGCTCCACAGGTGCTGCTGTGTAGACCACTCTGACTGCTCCGAGGTGTGAAAATAGAGAAAAAAACATTCCCACCATTATTAATGTGACAAAAAGAAACGATAATGTTAAAATGTATTCTTGCAGGTTAATGTAGAACAAGGAAGTTGTGATCAATTATTTGATCAACAGTCCAAAACCCAAAGATATTCAGTTCAAATATTCAGCATCTTAAGGAAGAAGCTGCAAACATTCACACTGGTGAAGCTGTAACTAGTAAAGTTTCCAAATTTTTTCCTAAAAATTACTTCTTAAAAAGTTTCGATAACTTTAGTATTGTACATTTTTAATTCATTTGAAGTGCAAGGCAAACACTGTCACAATCCTGAGAAAATCATCATAACATTTTATTTTTAAACACTCTGTGGTCCTGGTACTCTGCAGTGTGTGCAATGTTTAGTGCTGAAACAAGTAGTCAGTGCAATTAGTCAGTGATTCATTCATTGAGAAAACATACCAAACTGGATCAGGCCTCTTCAGGCTCTTTCAAATTATGATGCACATTTTTTACTATTGTTTCACATTTTATAGGCTAAATGGAAAAATGAATTGGAAAAATAATCAGCTGTCAGATATTTTATACCAAAGAACCAGAGGAACAAGAGAGAGAGAATAATGCTTTATGGATTAAGTGAGGATCCATCAGCTTCTGCAGACTGTTGCTGAGCAGGGATAATTACCCGGTCAGTGTTACAGCCCAAATTAGCCTTCTAAACTAAGACAAAATCTTCTCCAGTGCCACTTCTAGAGTCTAAATGACTAAAAGACTTGTGAGACAGTAGAGTTGTTTCAGGAGTGACTTTTCTGTGTGAACTGTGAAGCTTCCTTCACTGTTGTCGAAGCAGCTGCTTGTTGGAGCTTAGAGTTCTGTCTTAGACCAACAAAACATGAAACAAAACAAGAATGATCCCATCAACTCCAGTTCAATTCCCCTAAAGTCCATTATGACGGTGTGATCGGGTTAAAGGCCTAATCCTAAAGACAAACATAAACACAGAGCTACAGCTTAGAGAGGGGGAGCAGATGGAGAAGCTGGCTCGTTTAGTTACAATATGAATTAACCTCTGTTATTATTTATGTTTCTGAGATTGGTTGACTCCAGTGTACAAACTATTGTTTGAATATTTGCCTTCCGCCGTACTCTCGTCAAATTAAAAACAATTGTGAAATAAACAAAAATGAATCAACAGACACAAGTACAAACATAACAGAGCCTCCGGCACTTTTCCCCAGAAACCAAAAAACCAAAATATACATTTTAGTGGAGAACTTGGAGATACACTCCAGTTCAGTATAATTCAGCGCTGCAAACTACAGCCTCCAAAACAAGCATCAAGTAGAACACCTTTTTAAAACCGTTTCAACAAAAACTTTATAACCTCGATGAAGGAGGATTCATTGTTGTATTCAATTCCATTAATTGTAGCTACTTGTACCTAATAAACTGGCAACGGAGTGTATTAATGCTAAAATTGCACATACTGTGTACTTGATAAGTTTTTGTACTTGATTTTTATAAACTAGCAGTAAAGTAAATATACTGCTAGTTTTTTTTTAAACTCAATGGGGTAAAAAAGAGTTCCTTTCTGTCTCATGTTATTGATCTTTTAATCCACTCTTGGAAGCTATTAAATCCATCTGCTTCTTCAACTCTTTTAGCAGCAAACTAAGGCTAAGAAGAGAGGAGGAAAGTTGTTGATGGTGTTGATTTATTAATTTGTTTTTTATAAATGTGTGTTGAATTGATGCTCATCTAAAAACACATGTTTTGTTTCTTGGTGTAACATGTTGTTCTGCTTAGGCTGGGTGAAAAACAACTGAAGTGACTTTTCTTAATTTGTCCAATTTTTTTCTTTTTGATGAGACTTATTTAATTCACTTTTTATTGTGTTTTCATTTTTGAAGCTGAGCTGTAAACCATTTGGCTTTGATTTATTGGGAAAGTCTGGAGGTGATCATGTGCACTAATCCTGTTGTGTTTTTGTTTGTGTATGTGTGTGTACAGTTTGTGTGGCATCATTCCAGGTCTGAGCAGTGTGCTGCTGCCTCGTATGAACCCGTTCGTCCTGATCAACATGGCAGGAGCTCTTTCCCTCTGCATCACCTACATGCTCATAGAAATCAAGTAAGAATTAATCTCCCTCTGCGGCTGATAAATCCCCAAATAATCAGCGTCCGTCACTGTTTAACCAACACATTAAAACCAAGGCGGTTTTTGCTTGGGTTTAGTGATGTCAGGTTTCCATCGCCACTGCTGGAAATTCCCTCTCTCTGCTTTAAACTGCCCTGATCTTTATCTGCACTGAACTGTAAATGTGTCTTGATGCAAAACACTGGTTTGGAAAGAGCATGCAGACATGGGACAGGAAATGAGACTCAGATTCTCTTAAATTAATGGCAAAAGTGAAGTGAAGTGAATATTGTTCCTTAAATCATTTAGAGTGCCGATGAGGGAGTTCCCCAACATGCTTCCACCAGCTCAGATTATGGAAAAATACAAACTATGGTCCCATACAATCATTGAGTAAGTCTATGTAACAAATCACTGAGCTTTTGATCACATCACATGATCATCCTCTGCAGATAGAGCTGTAGTTGTTTTAAGTTTCAGTTTTGAGCACATTAGGGACTTATTGTCCATTTTGGTTTAAAAGCTGAGGTTCAAAGTTCATTCTTGAGCTTGGAAACAGCAGCTGAGAAAACGACAAGGTCCATTTATTTGCTCTTCTGGGGCTTTTTGTGATATTGCATAATCATAATCACTGTTGAGAAAATCTACTGTTCCATGACAACATGGGCAAACTCCATCTGGTGAGGAAGATCATGTGATAAGATTAAAAAGCTTATAAATGGACCTTGTGTTGTGATTGTTTTCTCAAAGATAAGAATTAAATACTGTATATTGTTTTGATGCCAAAGAAGAATGATCAAAAGTCTATATTCACCTTGAATTCCTAATCCTAGAGACCACACACTGAGCCAGAAAGATTTGTATCTTTTATTGTATTCTTTTTAGACATTATTCATGTTGAATGTTCCTGTGCTGTGTGTGTTTGCTCAGTAACTATAATGCAGTTGACACGGCGTCGGCGGTCGCCATTGCTCTCATGACCTTCGGTACCATGTATCCCATGAGCGTCTACAGCGGCAAAGTGCTCCTGCAGGTAAGACAAACACATGTTTCGCTATTCGTATTTTTTAGGTAATAATAATAAACTTTATTAATACAGCACTCTTCAAACAAGCAGGTAGCTTGATTAAATGTTTTTGTTGTCTCTCAATCACAGACCACACCGTCCCACATCATCGGCCAACTGGACAAACTGCTCAGAGAGGTGAGAGTCAGTGATCTGAGTAACATCAGCAGTAATATCAACTTCCAAAGCAAACTTGACATTTGGGATTGAGTTACATTCAATTCAACCATATTGCATGTATATGTATTTATTATTATTGACTGCTCTCTGTAATTTGAATTACCCTTGGGCACATTAAAGCTTTACTCTGCTGTTATAAACCTCATCCTTTTAATGGCCATCCACAAGTCTTCTTAAAAATGGTAGGGTAAGTAGGGTCTTAAAAAGGGGGATCATTGGTATTGATCATGCTGTAGCATCTACAGAACGAAACGGACATGGAACCAGTCCCGATTTTCTTTCATATCCTTCATATATTTTTGTCAGTATAGACATAAAATAGATCTTAAACTGCATTCTTAATTATCTTGAAAAGGTCTTAAAAAGTTTTAACATGATGAAACTCTGTCAAACTTAATTAGTATTTGCCATTTTGACATGAAATAGTAGGGTAAACACAGGTGTTACTAATGATACTAATCAAGGTTCTATTCTCCGGTCAAATAGAATCTGTGTGCTTAATTTTTAGCCTGTAGGTTCTACTCTTGATAATCATTTAAATTAAAGTCAGCAGTATAAGGAATATAAATGTCACCCAACACAGCTACAGTACTTTAACAGGGCTGGAAGACAAAAAGTTATTAGAATCAAAAATGATCTAGGCTTTATGCCCAAACGTGTCTGTCAGTATCAACAGGCAGGCAACATGTAAAGTTCATGACATTTTGATTCTTATTGGTTAATTGTTCCTCTTTGTGTCCAATCAGGTGTCAACTCTGGATGGTGTGCTGGAGGTTCGCAACGAGCACTTCTGGACTGTTGGCTTTGGATCTCTGGTACGTTTCTCAGCCACAGAACTATAATCTTGAGAATCCATCTTGCCAGGCTTCTCTCTGTGTGTTTGTGGCTGGTAAAGTGGTACTAGACTAATTAGCGTCCTTTGAGGAAGTACTCGCATCTACGGGGGTGGGGGGGGGCTAGGTCTGACGCAGGACAAGACACTGTTCATTAAACAACAATAGCAGCTGCTAAAGAGGTTAGGGTTATATCAGAACTTGAGAAAAAGTCTGTCTTTTCTTAAGAGCTCCAGGACGCTTACTCCTTCATAAGGTACCCAGAAACAAAAATGCTGCGTTCATGGTGGCCATGGTGTTGAAAGTTGCGCTCGGTATGAGTGCTAAGTGCTGAGATAATCACCCCCATCCCGATAACAACGCCTATGGTGCACTAGATGAACATGTGGTACACTAAAGGGCCCAGTTTGGTGTTTGAATACAGTCACCCTAGTCAGTTAGTACTGTACTGTTTGTAGTAATTTGATCAACTTTATTCAAGAAAATGCCTCCTGTGAAGCAAGATATAATGGGCAGCAAATTCTATAACACATTTCCAATTAACATGCAACCAGCACACACAGACACAATAGAAACACTTTTTCTAGATTTCTCTCCCTCCCCCCCTTCTTCCCTCCTTCGTCTCGTTCATCCCTCTCTGTCATTCGTTGGTTCAGAGTGACGATCTGAAGGGATTTGTTCACCCAGACGAAAAGAAGGAACAAGTCATTCATGCGGAGATTTTCTCTCTATCTCTCGCTCTTTCTCCAGTTTTTGGAGGGAACACTGTTGTTGTTGTTTGTGTTGAGTTGTCGTCGTCTGTGTTGCACGTTGTTGTAGCGACAGCAAACAAGCCCAGCTGGCTTTCCTTGGAAACACACACACACA